TGGAAGTGGGACGTCTGGCAGCTGGGTCTGTGTAGGAGATATCAACCGCGACGAGGCGGAGGAGAAGAGAGGCGGGGGTACGGTGTGCCGTCAGGATGCTGCGGTGTGGAAGGCCTATCGCTCAGCCGCCCTGCAGTGTGAGACCTGCAGTGGAGAAGTGCAGACGTGCGACAAATCCGCACAGTATCGCTGATGGAGCAGGACACAGCAGAAAGAACAACAAAATCAGGATCATGCAGAAGGACTGCCTGTGTAGGTGTCAAACAGGTACACTCTAAAAAATGCTGGATTGTTTCAACCCAACTTTGGGTCAAATATGGACTAACCCAACCGTTGGGTTAAATTTTTACATTAAATTTTTAACCCAAAAGTTGGGTTAGTCCATATTTGACCCAAAGTTGGGTTAAAACAACCGAGCATTTTTTTAGAGTGTATGAATCATCAAATGCTTTTTTTTAATAAATGTATGTAGCGATTTTAAGGGAATAATACCCTATGTGAGGTAATTAATTTAAAGGCAAATGCAACAAGACTGTACATTTATGATTGATATCATACAATTAATTTAATGTATAACTTCAGGAAAACAGGCTATAAATTTGATTTTAATATGGTACAGCCTTGTTTTAAAATGTGTGTATATATAAATATTTTCTTTTGCTATGATTACATCACTTTTTTTTTTGTATTTTAACAAATAAAGGGTGTTAGAAGGTGAAGTGTGTAATTTCTGCAGCAATATCACACACATTACCTTGAACCTCAAGAAGCCAGAAGTGCATTATGGGAATTAGGCTGAGATGTGTATGGTAGAGATGTTTTTAATCCCTCAGCTTTTGTTGCTGTATTACATTGAGGAAATCAAATATCTTCATGTGTCTGTAATTACATTTATCTCTGCTTTAGCTTTTCACAAATTCAGTGGAAACTGCAAACTATGCTTAATAATTCAGGGTGGATAAAGCATCCACTCGTGAGCCCAAAAATAGGGCTAAGTTAAATAATATACTGTATCTTTAATACATTAAAACAAAGAAAATGGGTAAAATTTGTTTTAATAATAATAGTAATATGTACAGTATACACTGCCAGTTTTCGATCAAAAGTACAGTAAAGAATATTGTGAAATTTCTATACAATTTCTATATGTACTGTGTGTGTGTGTACACACACTTGCATACACACATTTATATAATATTTTAATAATAATATAATAATATTTAATAAAAAAAATTGAAAAAAACTATCAAACGTTAAATTAAATGTGAAATTTTGATGTAGAAAAACTGAAATAGTATTTTCTTGTAAAATATACCCCAATAACCAGTGTTGGGGAAAGTTACTTTTAAAAGTAATGCATTACAATATTGCGTTACTCCATAAAAAAAGTAACTAATTACATAGTTACTTTTTATTGAAAGTAATGCGTTGCGTTACTTTTCAAATCTAGACAGGGCTTGCGTGTTTGTTTTTAAATTAAAAAGTTTTATTTTTGGCAAATATAAAAGCCTTTTCATACCAAAAGTGAAATGAATAAGCCTCAGGCTGAAGGGAAGGTAAATGTACGTCCGTACAGTAGAATGCTGTATTCTCTTGTAAATTAAAAAGTAATGCGTTACTTGAAAAAAGTAATCTGATTACGTAACTCGCGTTACTTGTAATGCGTTACCCCCAACACTGCCAATAACCTTACAACTTTTTTACAGGTTGATTAGAATAATCTTTACAACTTAAAAAAAAAAAATAAAATTTTGTGTAATAATTGTCAAATTAATTTATTTAAAAAAATGTTTTACCGCAGAGCATTAACAAATAAGCAGGGTGCTAATAAACCAGCTAGCCACAACTCTGAGAACACCATCATCACAGGAGCCTTGTAAAGCTCTCTCTTACACCAACGCAGCTGCTCATAATCAGCACTTAGGTGTTCTCAGTTGTGTAGGAGGAATAAAAGTGCTTAAGCAATCAGAGAGCGATCATTTCTCTGACTGCAAACACACACACAATGCTTCCTCTCTCTCTGATGACAACCTAAACAGGCCGTGGTTCATGTACAGAAAATTGTATTACTGTGGTACCATTTAGTTACTATTTTTAGCAATATTTATATTATTCAAATTTCCAGTAACATTGAAATGATAAATACATAAAGCCTCGAGGTGTCAGGGAATTTTTAGTCAGTATAAATGTTTCTATTTGTGCTTGTTGTGAGTGCAGTGTCTACAAAATAATTTTAAACGACAAGTGACGCCGAGTTTATGCAGTAATTGATTTTCACAGGTAAATGTAATGAAATCTCAAAGGCATGAATCAGGTCTGAAAGCTGTCAGTTGTATCAAAATTAAAGTTTATTACAAGAATAGGAAGTATGTAGTGCATAAAGTTGTCGGAATACAGATCTGACAGTACAGGGCTGAAGCTGCAACATGCTTTTCACTGCGCAACACACCAGAACTACAATCACACACGAGCACCTGATAATAAGGCACTAAACAAACAAGTGACCAAAAACAAAGACTATCATCGGAATGGAATACTAGCTTACTAACTCAATGTATACACTCTAAAAAATGCTCGGTTGTTTCAACCCAACTTTGGGTCAAATATGTACTAACCCAACTGTTGGGTTAAAAATGTAATTTAAAAATGTAACCCAACGGTTGGGTTAGTCCATATTTGACCTAAAGTTGGGTTGAAACAACCCAGCATTTTTTAGAGTGTACTTTCTACCGTTTTCTTTAAAGGGTAATTGAAACAGCTGACATTTTTCCAAGATCTCAAACAGTGGTATGCTACATTTGCTGTCACATGACTTCATCACATTGCATCTTAGAAAAATAAAAACTCTTTTGTATACTGCACATTGTAGTAAGTATACAGACCTTTGCATGTAAGTGTAGTAGGATAGTATCCTATTCCGAACATAACCAAAGGCTGAGATGAAACGGACCCCTCTTCCTTGCTGTGAGCTCTCGCATGCCTCAGTTCCCACAGAGACGTCAGCAGCATACGAGAAAGAGCGCAAGGTTCATCAGGGTACGAACAACTATGTTGTTTTCTATTTTTGATGATCGTAGCGTTATGCTTTTATCAGTACAAAAATAATGTCACAGGCACAGCTTTGTTGCATTTTTTAAAGGAGTTGATTTGTTATCGAAGAACAGCCAGAACCGGAGACCTTCAGTTCAACACATTGTTGGCTCTGTCCCAAAAACCTAGTGAGCTGCCTGTTCCAAATGTAGGCTGCATGATTATGCTGCCGCCTTAGTCACTTTCTTTTGGCCTATTTTTATGCATGTATCCATTGTGGAGAAGGCACACCCAAACCGTGGAAACGATTACACATTTCATTCAATACTGCAAAAATAGGTAAATACAAATAAAATTGACTATATATTTTTGTGCTATTGTACATACATTACCATTCAAAAGTTTGGAGTCTGTAAGATTTTTAGTCTCTTATGCTCACCTACGCTGCATTTATTTGATCAAAAATACAGTAATAATTACAATAATTTTACAATTCACAATGTATGTTGTATATTTTTATATTTTAACATTTAATTTATTCATGTGATGGCAATACTGAATTTTCAGCATCACTACTCCAGTCTTCAGTGTCACATTATCCTTCAGAAATCATTCTAATATGCTGATTTGTTGCTCAAGAAACATTATTATTATTATTAACATTAATGTTGAATATTTTTGTGGAATCCATGATACTTTTTTTTAGGGTTCTTTGATGAATAGAAAGTATAAATAAATATAGAAATATTTGATCACTTTTGATCAACTTAAAGCATTATTGCTAAATGACCATGTTATTTTAGTATCATTGAGATATAATTATTGTTTTTATGAATATTTTGAATCAGTTTTTTTAATTACATTTTATTATTTTCATTTTAGTAAATTTGTTGTTTCTGTCATTTTTTTTGTATTTGTTATACATCTATACAATGTTTATTCATTTTTTCAAATGAGAAATGTTGCTTTGGCAATTACGTGAAATAAAAAGGTTTTTATATATATTATTTCAGTTAACGTTTAAGTAACAATTTTTATGGTTTTACTTTTAGTTTTAGATTTAGTTTTAGTTAACTGTAATAACCTTGCTGAATAAACTTATTCATTTCTTTTGAAAATCTTAGTGGCCCCAAACTTTTGGAAAGTAGTGTATTATTATTCTTACTAGATTATTGTGCTGTTAGCTTAGAAACAAACATCAAACTGTATTGAAATCGATTGTAACGTCTCCCATGTGCGGCCTAAGAGTTGCTGCCAATTTAGAGTGATTCAGATCGATCTCTTTTGAGGATCCGTTTCAATTAGTTTCCTGCCTTAGATAGTCTTACACTTTAACTTTATACTAGGTTTTGGAACAGAGTCTCGATATTACCATAAACCATAATGAATATTTGAAGAGAAAGTAAACAGTAAGCAACTATCAGTTTGCATACTTGGTGAGGACATTAGAGAGCGGCAGTGGTTTTGCGACTCATCTTCAGGTAGGTTGAAATATTAGACAGGTGTAAGTACCTTCTGTAAGTGTATTTTCTTATGCTGGGATCTTTTAGCTGCTCTATCCCCGTTTGATGTTCATTAATAATGCAGAAAATTCTGTAACCAATGGACTGCTAGACGGGGGAAGTAATGGAAATGCTGGCATCAGCAAAAGGTACGTGATTCTGTCTTGAAATTCATTTTGGATTTATGAAATGCAAAAATAGTGCAATGTTTAGCAGTAACTAACATCTTAGAGCCATTTCAACCAAGCTTACACTCAAATTACTAAGGACTTATGAAAATGACTTATTTGAGTCAATTCTACACAGTTACGTCAAAGAGCTCTGAATGAAATATTTTGTGTCTTTTCTTCTGAAAGTACTTGGACGAGAATATCCTGTTTTTATGTTAAAATAGTGTCCGAACTAGTCTTCTGCCCTTGGCTTTGATTCGTGGAAAGGTTGCGCTGGTTTCGTTGCCAAGAGTCGGAGACCCTGTTGGTGTATTTCCTCCTCTTCTCCTTAACAGGAAGTCCACGCTAGCTGAAGACATGGCATAGAAGACGTTTCCTGTGGGAGGTATTATTAACTCTGTGGAGAGAGAAATGTAAGACAAAGAAATACTCAGAAAACATGCAAAAAAAGAAAAAAGTATTTATCTTAAATAATCAGCTTAAATAATTTTGTTAAAATATTTCATTTTTTAAAAATATATTTCTATAAATAAATAATTTACTTTGGATTAAATATAAATTAAAATAAATATGAATTAAATATGTATTTATATACAGTTTATACACTACTGTTCAAAAGTTTGGGGTCAGTGAGATTTTTTTTGAAGTCTCTTATGCTCACAAGCCTACACTTTTTTGAATAAAAAATGTATAGTAAAATAACTTAATTTATTCTTGTGATATAAAGCTGAATTTTCAGCATCATTACTCCAGTCGTAATGTCACATGATCCTTCAGAAATCATTCTAATATGCTGATTTGCTGCTCATTTATTATCATTGTCAATGTCAAAAACAAGTGCTTGAACAGAAAGTTCAAACGAACAGCATTTATTAAAAATAGGAATCTTTTGTAACATTATAAAACGTCTTCACTGTCACTTTTGATAAATTTGTGTCCTTGCTGAATAAAAATATTAATGTCACATGTGAATGGTAGTGCATATATTCATTTATATTTGTTTTATTTGACTGACAGCTGCCTGTTTTTATATATCAAGTCCATAATGTCACTATGTCCCATCAGTATGCCCCCAAAAAAATGTTTTCCACATTTTATAATGCGTTTTCAAAAAAACTTACAGCACATTATGACATGAGAAATGTGACATCACCTTTCCCCTCCGGCAGCAGTTGGATCAGCTCGTATTTGGAGGCTTCTTGAGCATTCTGGTTGTGCTTCTCTAATGCAGAACTGATTACAGTGGGTGTTTTATTATATATTCATTTATATTTGTTTTATTTGACTGACAGCTGCCTGTTTTTATATATCAAGTCCATAATGTCACTATGTCCCATCAGTATGCCCCCCAAAAAAAATGTTTTCCACATTTTATAATGCGTTTTCAAAAAACGTACAGCACATTATGACATGAGAAATGTGACATCACCTTTCCCCTCCGGCAGCAGTTGGATCAGCTCGTATTTGGAGGTACTATTTCAATCTTTCTAACTTAAAAATTCCATGTTAATTTAAAATTTACTTGCAGTTTCTTTGTTATTATTTGTGAAATTTCTTAGTGAAAATTGTTTTTAGGCACATCCTACACCAAAAATCTAATTTTCAACAATTTTCACTCAGAAATGGCTTGTAAATATCATAATTAATTACTAAGAAACCGCAAGTAGAACATAAACGGTATTTTTCTGTAAAACATGCTCTAATAGTGTTTTATTTACAACATTTTTTTTACAGTGGATACAATCTTTATTATTAATAAATGTATTATTATTTAATTAATTGATATTGTTGTGATTAGTATTAAATATCTACATTTTAGAATAATAGTAAAGTCATCAAATCTATGAATAAATAACATGAAGTATGTTCATCCATTAAAAAATATATACTTTTTAGAAAAAAATCATAAGTAGACATTATATAATTATCTTTAACTAATTTAAAGCATTTAATCACAAGCCTTCAGATGAAAATGTTTTTGGATCATGAGTAACACATTTATCCGGTAGTTTGAATTTTCATGCAAGAGAACTTTTATCTGGTAGTGTGAATTTTCATGCAAGAAAAAATGTGTCACATAATAAAAGTGTGGCATGGTTCAAATGTGAAAAAGCAACTTTAAATGCTAAAAAGATCCACAGTGAGCTCTCAAATAATAAATCTCTCAAAGTTGCTGATAACAGCCGAGCTTTTAAAGACCCATTACTGCAGTGTAATCAAAATAAAGCTCTTTATTCGCCCTTACCTTGTAAAGCCTGGACAGCAGGTGATTAACAGGAGACGGGAAGTCAAATATGCCATCAGCATCCATTGTCGTATTTGCCACGGCTGAGAGAGCGCTGTAACGGGAGAACAGAGCGATCTTGTCACAAACTGGAGGCTCTTTGCCATGGCTGCTTATGACATTGATTCTTTCTGAATAGACTGTAACCTAGAGTATAAATCTAAAACTCCACACCAGCAGTAGCTTTGAAGTCCAACTGCAGACGATAAGTGTGTCTTTGTCGTACTTTAAAACTTCATTTGATTCAGCTCAAGCAGCTTTACGGCGCTTCAGAGCTCATGAAAGGAACATCTGTGTGTGCAGGTCAAGGACTGAGTCTGATCCTCAGCATAGCCAACAGGAAGATTGTCATTTGAATTGAGCCCAGGATTCACAAAATAAGAGCTATGCATTTCATACTATATAGTAGTGTTTCTAAGCTGGTGGGTCGTGACCCAAAAATGTGTTGCAAATCTGTTCAGCAGAGAAAAAAACAATGCCGAATGCAAAACAATAATAACGTAATCATGTTTAGAACATGAAATCCCATTTCTTTGGCAATGTCTGTGCGTCCGGTCAAACTCTACTGTATTTTGGTGCAAATTCATCTGTCACTTGTTAAAAGCTAGTCATATTACACAGATACTAACACAGACAGGTTTGCTGTCCTCATAGGAAATGAATGGGTTACTATGGTAACCAGGATTCATTTCCCTTATGCCAAATCACAGCATCAGTATATGATGTGTTGTTTATTATGAAGTACTTTAACAAACAAATAAAATGTTTTGTACAATTTACTATGCATATCATCAAACAAAATTATACATACACACACACACACACACACACACACACACACACACACACACACACACATATATATATATATATATATATATATATATATATATTAATTGTCCTGTGACCAGTGTTATTTTAGTATTATTTATATACTAATATTGTGTTTTATTAATATTGTAAATTAGGTTTTAATTTTAGTAAAATTTTACTGTTATGTGTTTTTTTTTTTTTTACTTTAGGTTTCATTTATTTTTTTATTTCAGGTTTACTTTTTTTTTTTTTTTTTTTTCGTATTATTATTTCCAGTTAGTTTTTTTATTGCTTAAACTAAATAAAAATTAGAAATGTTTTCTTTGGCAACTAACTAAAATATTTTTTTTTTTTTTGTTTGTTTTTTGTTGTTGTTGTCTAATATTATATTTTTGTTTTATATTACAATTAAAAACAGATGCATTTGCGGTTTATTTATTTAAAAATTTACTTGAACTTATCTCCTTTTTATACAACATTTTCTTTTCTTCAATGTAAAAAATGCTGCTGCATTTTTTTAAAAAGCTTAAAAATTCTTGAAATAATTTAAATATCCAACTTAAGTAAACTAAAGTTAACTGAACTCAAGCACAAACACTTTAAGTTGAAACACCTTATTACTTATTGTAATGTTGCATTTTAATTTGTGATAATCACAGCAATCATTTTCAACAGTGTTGCAACTGTGCAGCACTATATTTTGATTCGTGTTGATTTGCAATCTAATTTTGAACTCCACAGTAAGAAATGCTGTGTGGTTGTTGATGTAGGACAGCGATGTTCTTACTCTGGACACTGTGTGATGATCACTGTAGGATTCAGGCCACGGCCAGGACTCGGCTCGCCCGGTGCTTCAATCTGATTGGACAGCTTGTAGCTATTAAAAAGCACATGGACATCTTATTATATAGTTAATCAGTGTGTATCTGAGATGAGTTACAGAAATGTCACTGACCTTTCCTCTTCGCGCAGCGTAGGTACGCTATGATACCACTGAACAAATGTCTCATCCGTTCTGAAAATGCTGTTTCTACACGAGGACTGAAGGAGCCGAATTTGAGCAATGACTTCAAACTCCTGAAATCAAGAGGATGTGATGTTAATATTTTTTTAAACAACTTAAAAGAATGACAATCAAGTATATAATCACCATAAACTCACCCGTCGTCTTTTATCGAAGTTGATGAAGCCATTCTGTAAGAGACATTACATTTTGGTTTACATTACACCCTGCCAATGCAACGCTGACTTAAGAGTTTTGTTCTGACACATCTTGATTCTGTCAGATGAGCTTTGACAAACATTGTGAAACCACTGCTATTTTTATACTTCACAGCTGGATGTGCTGATACTGTCTATTGCCCCCTTTTTTTAGTTTCATGGCAGGCTGTGAACTGAACATCACCTCTAATCGGTCTTTGACTGCAGTGTCCAGCATGGTGAGATCTCGGAGGAAGATGCCCAGGTACGGCACAGTGCCCTGAGCGCACGACTACAAAAGAAATACAGCTTTCAGATACATCAAAGATTATAAACACTACATCACATCATTAACACAGCGGGTAAAATAAGTATTGAACACGTCACCATTTTCTCAGGACAGGATTGCTTTCTAATTACTGATAGATTTCTGCTGATGTCTTGGCTTTCCATGCCTTTTTGCAGCTCTCTTTCTTCATGTGTTCAATACTTTTCCCCTGGGTCATTCAACTTTATTACACAGAACTTGATTTCTGAACTTATTTGTTTTGTTTTCTTTGTATGTATGGATTATTTGGGTTGTTACCGACATCTGGTGAAAATTTCATGTCATCAGTACCTTTAGAAATATATTTACTGAGAAAAATGGTGATGTGTTCAATACCTATTTTACCTGCTGTATATGCATATTTTTTGATATACACGCACATACTACAAAGTTTGGGGGAGGATTCTTTAATGTTTTTGAAAGAAGTCTGTCATGCTCACCAAGGCTGCATTTATTTGATCAAAAATACAATAAAATGTTATTATTATTGCAACTGAAATGAGCCATTTTCTGTTTAAATATGTTTTAAAATGTCATTTATTCCTGTGATGCAAAGCTGAATTTTCAGCATCATTACTGCAGTCTTCAGTGTCACACGATCCTTCAGAAATCATTCTGATTTACATTATGCTTGAAAATTTTTTTGCTGCTTGTTTGATTTTTTTGGAACCTGTGATTCTTTTTTTCAGTATTCTTTGAAAATTGTTTTTAGGAACAATAAATAAAAAGTGAATAAAAAGTAAAAAAAAGTTAGAAAAGAACAGCATTTATTCAAAATAGAAATCTTTTGTAACAACATACACTATCGTTCAAAAAGTTAGGGTTAGTTTTTTTCTTCTATTTTTATTTTTATTTTTTTTTAAATATATACTTTTATTCAGCAAGTATATGTTAAATTGATGGGGAAAAAAGTGATAGTACATTTTAATATAATTTTTGTAATATTGTAATATTTCCACAATATGACTGTTTCACTGTATTTTTATTCAAATAAAAGCAGCCTTGATGATCATAATAGATTTCTTTAAAAACATTACAAATCGTACTGATCCCAAACTTTTAAACAGTAGTATATATTATCATTATTTATAATAATATTTATATTTCTATATTAATATATAATAAAATCTAATATGTTATAATATATTTAATGTATATTTGTATAAGGATGCTTACCCCTGTAAATCTCCTGTTGTTGATTTTAGTGTCAAGGTTTGAACATTTGGAAGTCCCCTCCTGTAAAATTAAAGTGCTTTTATTACAGAAAACTGAAGTCGGTTCAAAGGAATATAGCTCAGTTCCTGTGTTTGCTAAATGTTTCTGCATGATGCATTTAAATCTGTCATGAGGAATCTGAATGTGATTTCAGACTTTATGGTTGTTGTTGTTGTTGTTTTTTTGTGTGTCCTTTTTGGATCTTCACAATAGTGGTCCCCATGATCACTAAAGCTTAATTACTCTCTTTGTGTTCCACAGAAAAAATAACAGCATAATGACAAGAGGAGTAAATAATTACAGATTTTTCCTTTTTGGGTGAACTGTTCCTTAAAGAACAGCAATATACAGTATAATGAATTACACAACAAGTTTACAGTGTGAGGCTGTGTTTTTGCATGACTGAATCTGATATTACTCATTCTGTTCTTGTCATTCGTTCCTCCCTTTAGGCCGTGCTGAATTAATGAAGTGCTCTACAGTGATGAAGCACATCCAATGAGAATTTTACACAGAGAGCCAGAGAACATCGATTGGCCTGATATTTTCCCATCAATGCATTGCCGTGTGAATTGGCTGCTTTGTATCGTAGTGAGACTGACCTCTTTGAGTAGTTCGCGGCTCTGGGAGTAGTTGTCTTTCTCAGAGAAGATGTCAGAAAGTTCCTCGTATCTCCTCACAGCTTCTCTGTTGGAGCAGAGGAAAGGACTTTAGGTTATTCTGCACTGCTGTTGTTAAACATGACATTACCGTTTCATATATTATGCATCATTTTTTGCATTGCAATGCAAATTGGAAATATAAATGTGAGGAATATTCCAGAAAAACAAGCAAAAAATTAATTAATAAAAGTTTATAATATTATTATTAGGATTGTAATCCTTTTACAATCTTATACAGCAAAAAAAAATATCTCACCAAATTATATTTCAAATATACATATATTAAAATTGAAAATCTGTTATGTTTAAATCTTCAAATGCTAGAATTTCTTTTTAAAATGTAGTGTTCAAAAGGGGCAAGAAAATACATTTAATTCAAAAATGCATATTTTAGTAAACACAAAATGTATTTATTATATTTTGGACAATATCAATATATTTAGATTGAAAATATATTAAAGTAAATATAAGAAACATAATAAATGAAATGATATAAATATAATGTGTGTGTGTGTATTTTTTTTTTTCTGTATAAATTTATATAAGACAAATTTCGTCTGATATTCATACTATATTAGTCTTATTTTTTTATATATTTTAAAAGTATATCTGTATCTATGATTAATATACTAATTTATAAATATAAGAAAAATAATAAATGAAATAATTTAAAGATGTATATTTATTAATATATACATTTTCATTTATATTACATTAAATATATATTAGCAATATATTTTAACCCATTTTTAAAAATATATTCAAAACATATGAAATTTTTTTTTTGTCATATTGGAGGAAATTCTGTAGGGAAAGTTGTACTGCACCATAAATTAATATTGACTTGATATTCCTTTAACGCATCGACGAGCAGTTTTCGAAGTAAATCCAGACCTGTCTGTTTCCTGCCAGGTCTTTCTCAGTCTGTGGATGGGGTTGCTCTGCAGCGCTGACAGAATGGCGTACAGTGAGGAGAAGTTCTTCCTGCTTCTGCAGGCCTGTTTGGGAAACAAACCACATGCTCACGTGAGTCCTTCATCCTGATGGATGGCATCGTTTACAGTGAAACCGCTCTGACCTCTGCGACGCTGATCCATTTCTCCAGCAGTCTGGCCCTCTGTTGGCTCTTCAGAGCCGTGTTCCACAAGCACGAGGCTGTGACAGCGTTTGCTAAGCGATTAAACTGCTTGATAGTAGCTCTGACCGACCAACACGCTCCTTCCCGGCCCTTCTTATCTCTCTGAGACCACAGAGACCCCAGACAGTGATAGGGCACCAGCTTCAGAAACAGATCCTTAAGGCAAAACAAAAGCATTTCATTTAAGGATGCTACCAACAGGTCCGAGATGTTCACAGACTTTAGAGAGTGAGGTAAACTGTAACTTATTTTACTTTTAGTTTCAAACTAATCTCTGGTGTTTTCCGCAGATGTAAAGGCAGCATGATCAAACTCACTGTCTCAATCCTGGTCAGCTGCTCTGCAATCACACTGGATGGAAACCCCAGGATGCTGGTGGCATCAAACTCCGAGGGATCAGGAGATGTCACACCTTTGGTAGGATCTGTAGGAAATCAATACATCAATATGGAAAAATGGACAATAAGTGCTCCTATGTCTATCTAACCTGGAACCAGAATTTACTATTAATGCTTGCTATGGGGAAAATGTGTTTATAAATAAAAAATGTGGGGTCAGTAGGATTTAAATTTTCATTTAAATCCTTTATTCAGCAAAGATTCATTAAATTGATCAAAATTTACTTTGTTACAAATGATTTCTATTTCAAATAAATGCTCTTTATTTGAACCTTCTGTTCATCAAAGCATCCTGAAAATAATATATCACTGTTATCACAAAAATATTATGCAGCACAACTGTTTTCAACACGTTTCTTGAGCAGCAAATCAGCATATTAGAATGATTTCTGAAGGATCACTGATGTAATGATGCTGAAAATTCAGCTTTGCATCACAGGAATAAATTAAATTTTGAAATACATTAAAACAGAGAGCTGTTATTTTAAATTGCAATAATATTTGTGACCCTGGACCACAAAATCAGTCATAAGTGGACATTTTTTGAAATTGAGATGTATACATCATCTGGAAGCTGAATAAATAAGATCTCCATTGGTGTATGGTTTGTTAGGACAGGACAATATTTGGCCGAGATACAACTATTTGAAAATCTGGAATCTGAGGGTGCAAAAAAATCCAAATATTGAGAAAATCGCATTTAAAGTTGTTTTAAAGTTCTTAGCAATGCATATTACTAATCAAAAATGAAGTTTTGATATATTTACGGTAGAAGACATTTACAAAATATCTTCATGGAACATGGTCTTTACTTAATATCCTAATGATTTTTGGCATAAAAGAAAAATCAATAATTTTGACCCATACAATGTATTGTTGGCTATTGCTACAAATATACCTATGTGACTTATGTCTGGTTTTGTCACATTTTACAATATTACTGATTACTGTATTTTTTATTTAATAAATGCAGCCTTGGTGAGCATACAAGACTTCTTTCAAAAACATTTAAAAAATCTTGCAGACCCCAAACTTTTGAACGCTAGTTTAGACCAAACTGTTAATGAGCTTACAGCTTTTAAAAATCATGTTATAGTGAAATTTCTAGCCACTTAAAAATATTAGATTGCTATTAACTACAGAAATGTCTATGACTTTGTAATATTGTACTAATTTCATGACTTTTCAATTACAATTTCCAGGTTGTGATAATTTGATCATTTGGTCCTCGAATTATTGTGGCATAAACAAAGGTCAGTAGAATCTAAAAATGATAAGGAAAAGCTCAGAGACTTTTGTTGTCATTGGCTATAACAACTTTTACTTCAGTGGAAATTTGCATTTATTTCTGTATTTCAGAACTCCAGAACTTCATGTAGTTACATTCCTACAACCAAAATGAAATATCGAACTACAAATCCATGTTCTTGTGACAGGCGGTTGTAGAGAGAGACTGATAGAATAACCTGCACTGTCTGTCACAAACGTACAAAAAACGGTGAGATGTCGCCTTTGTCAAAGGGACAAATATCCTGACCTGAGAGCGAGCCGGACAGCAGGGTTTTTTCACTCAACTCCTCAGCGATCCTCAGCAGTCGGCCTTTGATTTCTGCGCCCGAGGTGTCCGTGGGAAGCAGGGGGGCCAAGCGCAGCAGGCAGGAGGGATCGTTCAGAGAGCGGAAATCCTCGGGATAGTCACTCAGCCATGTGCTGAACACCGTACACACCGCCCTGAACACAGCAAGTGTGAATAAACACTCCACAATGCAGTTTAAAAGACAAAACTGGCTATTAATAACTTCTGTTTATAGCTTGTTGTGTATCTATAGTAGTACATACTTGTTGAACATCTGACGAGTGTTACTATTGCTCTCCCCAGGAGGATTTCCCAACCTAGAAAATAGTTCATATTGAAATTGGGGGTTCATTTTACTGTAATGTCAGTTAGTATTGCAAATAATTAACAAATGTTATTAGTAAAAAATTTATATTATTGCAAATACATATGAATTATAAACATATGTATATGTATGGGTGTATAGATAGATACAAACCCAATTCCAAAAAAGTTGGGACACTGTACAGATTGTGAGTAAAAAAGGAATGGAATAATTTACAAATCTCATAAACTTATATTTTATTCACAATAGAATATAGATAACATATCAAATGTTGAAAGTGAGACATTTTGAAATGTCATGCCAAATATTGGCTCATTTTGGATTTCATGAGAGCTACACATTCCAAAAAAGTTGGGACAGGTAGCAATAAGAGGCCGGAAAAGTTAAATATACATATAAGGAACAGCTGGAGGACCAATTTGCAACTTATTAGGTAAATTGGCAACAAAAAGACAATGACTTTATTACTTTACATGCATTGTACCTGTCAATCAGGATGTCCAGCACTCTCTGGGTGGAGGTGAACGAGCGATAGGTGGAGAGGAAGATGGAGATGAAGGAGGAGTCACCCATGGAGAAGGAATGAAGGAGATGGAGGACCAGCTTTTCCTCTGTGCCTGCTTTGACATGCTGAGAGCGGGATGCTGTGGACTGGGAAGAGACGGTTGAAGATGTCAGGACAGAACTTCTGGAACGTACAGCATTGAATGTGACTTGGGAAGATGGGGCTCACCTGCAGGCCGGCGGGGGAAATGTGTCCTTGTTTTACCACCACAGTGTAGATGATACCGTCTTCCTCCATTTCGGACACAGTGGACTGAAGCAGAGAGAGATCAGAGTAAGTAAGCAGTTTGTGGATTTTTTTTCAAACAGCCTTCCAGTAGACTTATTACAAGCTCACTGGGTTAGGGGCCTTGCTCTTGGTCACAATAATTAAACCTCATTGCTTGTTCCCCGTCTTATATAACCAAACTTTATGGCTAATGTCTGCTCTGCTTCAGTTTATTTGCCCAAAACCCACCCACTTCACTAACATGAGAAGTGACCAATCACAGTTTTAGTTTTTACATGCCTTTTTATATAATTTTACATGCAATAAAATAAGACTTGTGTGGAAAAACACATTTCGATAAATGTGTAGACTTTAATTTTTAGTCCACCCAAAAGTAATAAATAATCATTATTGCACAGACATAATGTACTCTACCGTTCAAAAGTTTGAGATCAGTACGATTTTTTTAATGTTTTTGATAGAAATCTCTTATATGCTCACCAAGGCTGCATTTATTTGATAAAAAATACAGTAAAAACAGTAATATTGTGAAATATTATTACAATTTAAAACAACTGTTTTCTGTTTG